ATTTCAAACCAAATGGCTCAGGAAGCACTACCCTTAAAAAAAAGTTACACTAATTCGCTCCCTTTAGTATAAGTGCCTTTTATTACCCCTTCCGTCTCATTTAATTTTGCTTCAATTAAGTTTCCTAGTGCCGTTCCATTGACACTCAGCCAAACAAAATGGAAGTAGCACGTAATGGCTTAATTGATATTATTAACAAACAGCTCTCGCTGTTCGCCAATGACCTTCTAATTAATGTTTTCGCAAGCGATAATCATAATAGCCTGGAGTGCCACGCCCCACGCTTGCCGCCCATTTGCACGCATCAAATTGAGCGACAACAAATTCTAGGCGAAAGTTTCACCGTGCCGCCAAATTATGAGTTTACACGCAACAACGAGGAACTGTGTGCGTGGGGCCTTGAAAGTTTCACTTGGCACCACATTTTCCCTTTACTTACATCCACGCCTCGAGAAATGGGTGCGGTTTTCCATGCACGAAGAACAAAATTGCAATAAGTTCCATCACATTTGCCATACTCAGAAAGCATTTATTATAATAAATTATAATAAACAAAAAGTGAGATTGGCAATAAAAGTATATATAAAAAGGTTATTAGTAATGGCAGTAATATTTTTGAATAGTTTGGAGCAACTACATATAATTTTTTATGTGAAAAGTCCCCAGAAAGAAAAACAAAAAATTCAAAAAAAAAGTTTTGAAAGTAAAAAAGGAGGAACTCTAACATAAATTGTAATACGAAACATGGTTTTCCCAGTGTATTTATCTCCACCGAAAGGGCAGGACTCCTAGGAAAAGCTTGATTTGACTGGCGTCGAGACAAATCACGTTGACTGGCTCAACATGACAGCTGCCCCAGGACCTCGGAAACCCCTGCTCCACCTCCTCTGGTCCTCGATCCTTGTCTGCTGCCAAGGCGAAGCGATGATAAATGAACCCGCTGAAAGTGACACTGATTTTTGGTCAGCTGCAGTTGATTTTCAGTCGAAGCGAGCACACGTTGCGTATGAGTAATGTCCTTGTTGTCGACAAATACCCAAGCACTCTCCACTTTGCTAACCCGCATTTGATTTTCACACCGCGTGTGGGCTGTCGCATTATTGACAATTTTATTAGGCCATTTTTGTTTGCCTGTTTATAATGCCGCCCGCACAAAGTAAACTCGTTAATTTCATAACATATGCCAACACATTTGGATTTCAGAGGGAAAAGGAGAAGGGAGGAGCGTTTCTGAGTTCGTCGATGGGTTTGTTGATGGGACGTTGACAGCATTCATGTGTGGCATAAAAACGACATCAGAGTCTGGGGAATAAAAACCGGCTGTTGGCCTGCAGTCCTTGATCGCTTGTCATTAACTCTGATTGCCTCATTTTGGTCTGTTGAATATGTAATTGCTAATTTGCTATTGGAAGTACGACATATTTTGCATTTCCGCGTTGTCGAAATGTGCTTTAAAATTATTTTGAAAAGGAATATTTTGTTTAGGGCTTATGAAGGCTATTTTGAAATCCCATTTTCACTACCTTCTGTATTTTCATTCCTTTACTTTTCATTGAACTATAAATGTACTTCTCCATAGCTTATGTAGGCTTTTCTTTTTATCAATTTCGAACAGAAACGGCCATTTTAAATGGCGAACATTTGTACGCATCACACTTGAAATCAATGCTTTCCTTTTCTTCTTTCCCGTCTGCACTACATTTCTTTTTCTATTTCTGCATAATTTTGCCGTTTTCGGCTTTTGGAGAGTGAAAAATCCATTTATGCAATGCACGCAAGTGCCACTATGCAAATTCCAGGCCACCAGAGCCCTGCAAGGTCAAAAAAATCATTGATTACACTTGAAGAGTCAGTTGGTGAAATTTGCATATTTTTTGTACAGGAAATATAGAGAATCGGTAAATCAGGTCAAATGGAAAGGGAGCAGCCGATATTGAAAGAAGGGGCGTGCCTGGGCTGGGATCTATATCTTAAGTTCAATATTGAATTGGAATCGTGGATTTATTTGGCCTTAGTTGTCATCTGAAACTATAAGATTTATTGAGATTTATTTATAGTATTAAGACTATCATCTTATGTTTAAAATAGTTTCGGTTTCGTGTTAAAGTTCTTTGCCGTTTTTGCACAAGAAGTTTGCCAAATGAAATTTCGAACTCTTTTGTAACATTTTAGGTTGGGCCAATGTTCATTGATTTGCTTTAAGCTTTAATTGAAGAATTAAGTTCAATCTATTCATTTATACGGATTTTAATAAGTACCTACTTATTTTAAAACATCTAAAATTGCTGAAGAACTGAATTATTATTTTCAGTTATATAAAAATAACCTTCGCTATATTAAGGTACATTTGGTTTCTAAATTAATGTTCCACTTTTGTAGTCATTATAATAATCTTTAAGAAGATATAATATCAGGCAGAAAAACTTGTCCTTTCTGCATAAATATTTTCTTTAAAGTTTTCTGCAAATTTATAGTCTAAAGTTTGTTTGCCATTTTTTACCGTTCGCCTTCATTTTTCCTACATAAATTATTGTCAAACAGTCGCCATGTGTCCATAAAAGTGTACCTTGGGCCAACATTTGTTTTCCCCGAAAAGTTCAAAGTTCAGACGCGTGCCGAATGAGAAGATGACTGACAATTCCGGAGGGAAAAGCGGAGAAATCAACAGTTTTCCATTTCCCACCTCCAGCTCGTCGTGCGGAAATGCCAAAAGCAAACAAAAGCATTTAAGCCAAGATATCTTCCTTTCCCTCGCATTTTCGAGCCGTTGATGATGATAATTGCACAGGCGGCAGCCACTAAAATATTGAGAACGCTCCATTGAACAAGTCCTCGTAAATCAAACGCAATGAGCTTTGCCGCTCGATTCTCGAGTCTCAACTTTGGCAGGACTTCCTCCCACTCCTCCTTGATTTCTTCACCCACCTCTGCAATCTGAACAGAGAGCTCTTTAAATTCGATGAGCAGGGCTAATCGCCTTCGCCGTTGACTCAGCTGAGCTCACCGAATGGGCGGCAGTGTTTGCTATTTTGGCAATTATATTCGGGAGGAAAACAAATCAATAAATGTGTAATTACAGGGTCAGGATTTAGGGAAAATCGAGGAAATCAAACATACGAAAGTAAACAATCTGATGGTGAAGTCATGTCACATTCCGAATGATTCAATAAACTTGGTTTGGCTATAATTGAAGAATTAAGATAGCTTAAGTAACTGTTACTTCCAAAGATGTTTTGGTGTTGTTATACACAATGTTTTCTATATTTAAAAGACTCGAAGTTACAGCAGAATACATAACACTGGTGTTTTGCCTGTGTAGCTACACCCTGGCAGGTTCCCTTACCAAATTTGTTGCGAAACTAACTCCAAGAAAGAAAACTTTGGGATAAGAGTATGCAAACAGAATTTCCGCCTTGCAGCTTCGGCTAAACTTACCAAGTTGATACTTTGTTTCCTGAAGTCCTAGTCTAATCCAATCTCTCGATTTTACTTTGCAGCAAACCAACTGTGACGTGCTCTTAAATGAAAGGAACGTGCGATGCAATTGAATGCAAGCAGAACAACTGAAACGCACTACTGGATTGTAAGTATCTCCTCAATGCGAACCTTGAACTTCTGAGTTCTTTATTATAATTTTCACAACTCGCCAACTCCTTGTGGTTGCAATTATCGAGACATAAAAATGGCCGGCCAAAAAGGCCAAAATCGTTGCCAAAAAATAGTTAGGCGACGGGAAAGTGGCCGCAAGTGCTGAGTGAAATGGTGGAAAGCGGACATTGTCTTTGGATTGGCAGGATGCCAGGCTGGCAGGAAGTTCCATCGTTGGCAGGATGAGCCCAGAAACCGGAGACAATAGCAGCTTTCGAGTATGAGTCCCGGCAATAGATTTTTATTGCTCCGAAATTGTTTGGAAAATCACAAATTGTCGGGTGCGACCCTTTCTTTCGATTTAGAGATTAGTTGAAGGAAGTAACATTTTATTTAATGGAGCCACTAATTCGAAAGATTTTTAGAAAATATCAAGATGTATTGTCTGAATAGCTATCACGGTTTTAGGTTACTAAAAACTATACAGATTTTAGTCGCTTAATAAATCTTTTCAAGAGAGGAGTTAAGCCATAACCTTAAGGCAATTCGTATTATTGACCCCGATTTGTGGTAATGCATCTTTCATGATCTATCCAGACACTTAGTCAATAAATCACTCGTGGCCCCATCGCCCAATGAATCGACAGATTCCCGCACACACAATCTGATTTCTATTGAATCGTGTCTGAATTGACATTCTTTGGCCTCGTCTCTGACCCAAAATGCCAACTGCAATTGACATTTCTGGCTGCAAAATTGATGATCCGCCTCCGAATCCCTGCGACCGACTTGTCCGTCTGTCCGACAAAATTAAAAAGATTATTCTCGCAAATGATTTGTAACCTTCTCCTGCTCCTTCCACAAAGCGTGAAAACAGCAATACAATTTGATTAAAAAGTTCGAACGGACGTGGCCTTCTTTGCCGGAAAAAGATTGAAAATTGGGTGAGAAAAATCTAATGAACCTTTTACAAAGATGTCAAGTTGCTCACTGAACTTTACTTAAGGAAAAGCCAAATTAGTAAAGTTTTTGGGGCTAGGCCAAAGACCTTTCTGCCAACGATGAGAAACGTTTATTAAAAGGTCAGCTGATAAGAAATAATTTATTAATTTTGGGTTGAAAGTAAAGATTTGTATTGAACTTTTAAGTCACTTAATTATGAATGAGATTAGAAATAAATACGTAATGATTAGAAAGTAATGAAGATGGGTCCGAAAAGATTAAATTAGTATAGATAAGCTTAAATTAAATCTAATTTGGTTTGTTTGGCGAGGTATTTTTAAGAAAACAAAAAAGAAGTAAAAATATTGATTATTCCTGTGGAAACACTTGAGTAATGTTTATTGAACTTTAAACTGCTTTATTTAATTTTAAGAATATATAACTAAACCAATTCATTTCTTTCTTTACAGACCCTTTTTTGGTGTGCCTTAGGTGGTTTGATTTTGGGTGGAATAGTTGTCATTTCATACTGGATAAGACGATGCAGGTATGTGTTAAGCCCACTGTACCGAATACCCCTCTGTGAATTCCTAAAAATATAAATATGAAAATGCCTGCTGCAAAATGCGCTGACAAAAGCGCAGCAGGAAAACTCTTCAATCCAATTAGTCAGACGAAAATGGTTTGGGCCTGGTTTTCTCTCTGTATCTCAGCGTTTTGTTTTCATACAAAAATCTTAAATTGGGGCTGGGGGTACTAAGCCCCGCTACACGTGACGCCCCTCGAAAAAGCGGAGACAACGTGAACGGGCCAACGACCACAGCGAATGCACGTGGGGCTTTTCACCATCCCCATGCGGAAAAACTGGGCGGCCGGGTGGCTTTTCCAGTGCAGCGGCGAATAGAGAGAGACAGCCCGTCCTCTATGAGCTTGTGGTGACATTAGAAAAGACGCAAAATTGCCAGTTGGCCGAGCAGAACAACTGAATAATTCAGCCCGGCAATTGGACGGACCGACGACTGTTTGAGCAATTAAGTTAATGATGCAAGGTCACTGGAAATGGGCCTGGCCAAAGCCTGGGGCCCTTTATCTACCCGGCCTCACCAGTCGGAAAATGGGGGAAATTGGGCAGTGGCTGTTGGTTCTTCCCAAACGATGACGCAGTTGACTTTGGGCCATTTGCAGGGCGGTGACCAGTAGGCCTCCAAATCCCGTCCCCATTTCCATTCCCATCCCGGAGATCCATTACGATTGTTGGCGCCACTTCGTTCCGACAGACAGTGAAAAATCTACGCCATAAATATACAGTAAAACGTGAATAAGTCTGACTCCAAAAGAAAGCAACATTTTCAAATACCATTCCTTAAAATATATAAAAGGATAATGCTTAATTGGTTTCCACAAAAAACTATATATAAATTATATACCTTTTTTCAAACGAAGGGCAAAAAATATTCATTGTCTTAAAATTATTTGTTCGAGAAATTTTCAAGTTCATTTTAGAAACTTGAGTACTAGTTGTTAGATATGTTAAACCTTTTCTCATATAAAAAGACCTTTAACCTTATTATCTTTAAGAAACTCTGGTTTAATGACGTAAGACTGTACTACAGTACATATAATACGAAATTATATTAAAGGACACGCAGCAGCAACGCACTATAAGGACAACTGACCGCGCCGAACGGCTTCCATTTTCATGTTCAGTTTTCTTTTTCCTTCGCCTCCATTTTCATGTTGGCTTCACGCGAGGCCGGCGCGTAAAAAGTTTTCCAATTTCCATATGGAGCGATCAAAGGCAAGCCCGCAAACAAACAAACTGTAATATTTGCATACAGCCGAATGTCCTGGGAGTAATGGAATAGCGAGTGGGTGGGAGTGGGTGGTTGGAGTGGGTGGAGGTGTTGGTCAGAGCGAAGGTAAACAGTCGTTGAGCGGGTCATGATTAATGTGTCACGAAGTGGGCAACATCACGACTATTTGCCGCAAACACTCACCCACACTCACTTTAATGGCGGACATGGCACAGTGGTGAAGGACCACTAAAAACTGGCCATAAAAAGTTTATGGGATCAGGAAATATTTAAAGCTTATTTCTAGTTTCCAATAAAAATGCAAGGCAGCACTTAAAGAAACAGCGAAAATTTATAACCTTTTAAAAATTTAAGGCTTAGGTGTACATATGAAATTTGTGTAGCAGGAAATTCGATAGAATTTTTAAAAATAATACTATACAAATTCCTGTATATAAAAAAAGTAAATTAAACTTTAAATAATGCAGCCCAAAAATCTTAATTCATTTTTAGAACGCAATTGGTAGATTGTTTGTTTACTTTGCCAAACCAAAAATCAATTGTGAACTGAAATGAGTGCAGAGGAAAAGATAATTACTCGTGTTAGATTTGCAGACTCAATCTAGCCATAATTGATAACCAATGACCAACATTCCTTTTGATTTTAATTGATTCAAATTATATGAACATTACTCCCGACCAGAAGGTTACTTCGGCTGACCTTGCCCTTTTTGTGGAAGTAATTCCAGCCTTATCGCTGGCCCCACGGTAAATTATCCGTACATTGTTAGCCCATTGTCAAGAAAAAACAAACTGGCATGCCAAGTTCAAATGGGATTCGCTGGCGGGGGTTCTTCTGGCCAAGGAGGAGCAAATACGAGGCACATTCTTTGCATTCAACCGAGCCAGCGACGACGCTCGCCATGAGTCAGTTGGAAATTGTCATAAAAATTAAAAATCAATTTTTATAATCCAGTTAGAAGGGGGAAACGCAGGGTCGCGAGCGAGACAGACAGACAGTCGGTTGGGGAGTGAGCGAGAGGGGGCAAGTCGGACGTACGAGTCAGCCGCAAATACGACCACGAACATGAAGCGATATGGACACGCAAACACTCTAAGCCCCTCACCCACAATCGGTGGTAGTATAGTAGAAACCCATACATACACCTATGTATATACGAAAAACACACCTCAGTCCGACTGGAATGGAATGAAGAAATTTCATAGTTTTCGCCCCGGGCGAAACGATATTCGAATCATTAACGGACGACCCGAGCACCGTGTTGGCCGCGTTTTTCGTGGCTTAAATATTCAACCAAGTTCGCCCCAAATATTTCGGCGCGTCAGCGAGTGAACTACTTTGTGAACTTGTTGGAACTTTGAAAGTTAATTTTGGTGCTCCCCAAAAAATCTAATCCATTACATGGCACGCGGTTGTCAACTCTTTCGCCAACTTTGTGACGTCCCCGAAACTATTTAAAAATTTATTCAAATTTGTCTGACCCAATCAACAATGAGTGCAACCATAATGAAGCCGGGGAGGTCGTGGAAAGTGCTGTTCTGAGGTGGAGAGGTGCCCAGAATCATCAAGAGCAGGTGCCACTCCGCTCCTTATCTCCATAATCATCATCATCATTTTTAATGTGCAATTCTATTTCGGTCTCAGAAAATTTCGGTGGCAGATTAAATGAGGTTGGGTGGCATGTAATGACAGAAATTATGGCGTTGTTCTGTGCAGAAAGATAAGAGGATTTAAAGCTAGATTAATCAAGCTTGGAATAGAAAATCAAGAACAGTAAAGTGGAAATTAATATGATATTAATAACAATGTTTGTTATCCGGAAGAAAAGATACGTGTTTTTATGGCAAAAGTTTCTGAATCAATAAGTCGATTAGAACTTGGAAATATTTGATAAATGTATGCTGAATGTTTAACTTGCTATTCACAATCTACAAAAAAATTTAAAAGCGAAAACAAGAGTAAACATTTTTTTTTTGAATATCTAGATATCTAATTATCTATCATTAAACAAAAGAAAAAAAATCAAACTCAGTAATTGCGCAGAAAAAAGTTTCCCTTGGAAGTTTTTCCAACGCCCCAATCTTTTGTTTTGAGGCCCACATAATACCTAAAAAATAATTAGTAATTGCCTAAGGGCATGGAACATTTGAGTGCTATTTTTAACTTCCGCCGTGAGTAATATTCCGCGACTAAGCTCTTTCCAAGCGATTCAATTAAAGTGCTGAGAATTTATGTCTGAAGCATTGAACTAAGCCCCATATTGATTAATGATATCTGTTTCATTCGTAGTGCTCTCTTTTTCTACCATCGCGTTTCCAACCGTCGTTTACCGAAATTGACAATTTAATTTGCAATGAACAAGCCAGTGACGGACAGGATAATGCAATAATCAAAGTGAGGGATAAGCCAGAACTGAACTCACATGTCGTGATAGTGAATATGAATACGAATTTGACACCCAGACAGGCGGAGAGGGGGCAAGTGTGGGGTTTCTCTAGTGCACACCTGAAAGCCAAAAGAAAATAAAGCGAACCACTTACACCGCTCCCAAAAGGAAAATCAATAAAGTGTCTTGAAAGTAAAAGGCAGAAAGGCAGAACTTTGAGCATTTGTGTGCTGTCCCCGATTAGATAAATGGCCCAAGGAGGGGTTTTCTCTTCAAAGCAGAAACAAATACGATTAAATCAAGCCACAACGGCAGCTGAAAAACACAATTTAAAATTAGAATTAGACAATTAGACAAATAGGCCGCCGGGGGTACGGGCAAAGTGAACGGGAAACACGTGCAAAAAGTACGGTTCCTTCATAAGTTCCACACAGAGGGAACTCAATGTCACGCAGCGAACACACATGAAAGGAGCACTTGAGGGGAAAAAGCGCGACACACGGGGCGTATGATTTATTTAAGCGTCTATTAAAGTCCTTCCCATTGTTCCGCAGTAGAAGTGGTTGCCTTTATTGCCGCTGTGGCTTACTTTTCACCGAGTGAAGGACATTCGTTGAACTGCAACGCACTCGCCTTCGCTAAAATAACTTCAAAAGTTTTGCATGCTAAGGGGCGTGTGCTTTTTAATTAACAAAACAGCAGCAGAAACAATAGTGAGTTAAGTGCGGCGGTATCTGAAATTGAAATCGGATCCATAGTGTCTACGTCAGATATTTAAATTGCTGCTCTGGCTAAACCTTGAAAACCGACATCCATTTGTTCAAATTAAAAATCAGCATTGTCTCTATTATTTATTTCACATGCAGCAGAGTTTTAAATTTGATAAATATCAGAAAAATTGCAGGCAAAATAACATTATGTCACGCTAATTGGCAACTTCATTCGTTCGGCAATTAAAAAGATTAATTTGGTAGTTCAGGGAAAGCAATGTTTCAATTAATAACCAAATTAAATATTGACTAACAAACTGTATATTAAAATACTGCTCTAACGTCAAATTTGAAGGATTAAAGCGGAGTTTAAATTTATTATCCATTAATAACGTTAATAGGTAGGATCTGAAAAATAAAAAAATACATGTGATTAATTTAGTTTATTAGTCACGTAATAAGAACTGCATTTTTAATACACATTTCCAAATTGAAACTTTTTTTCCCAAAACAAAAAATTACCCGTCATTTGCATTTTTTACTGTGAGAATCCGGTAATTAATTAAATCTAGAATAAGCACTACCAAACAAAAACGAAAACTTAGGCGAGTGTTCAGCTGAAAGAGGGGAAATAAACTTAATTAAACAGAGTGGGGCCTGCAAATTGAAATCAAACGGGGTCAAGTTGATTTCGCTCTCATCGCAGTTCATCAAATGCTGTTCTCTCACTGTTCTCCTACCATTTACCCTTGCAAAACCAAAGAATCGAATTGAAAACTAAATTTCTGTAATCATCGAACCCCGGATTTAGGTGTCTTGCAATTTTGGACTGTAGCGAAGTTTGCCTAACAGATCGCTGTCGGTAGGTAAATTTGCTTTCGTTGCATCAACAAGTCAAATTATCAAGCGGAGCAAATTAGCCAGCAAATTGAGAGCAAACCAAATCACCAGAGCAAAGCTAAAAAAAAGTACCCACAAATCGAACACACAAGCAAACGAATTTTGATTTTCCAAACTTCAATTGGCTGCTAAAATATGAACACTCATAACACGCTGAAATTTGTTAAATTACTCCTTTAAGTTTCACGCAATTCTTTATGCAAATTTTCGAAAATTAGATTACGCTTTTATACAAATTGGCTGTAAATTAGTTTAGTTGAATTGAAAATTGGCATAAGCCCTAAAGCATGTTTTATCCTTCATTTGATTATCCTTTTTCTTACGTTTCACAAAAACACATTAAGTAATCAAATAAAAGGACTTGGCAAAGTTCGTTACCAAAATGCTTTTGTGATTGTCTTTTACAGCAATAATCAAACCCAAGTTTATTTACACTCTTTAAACGATTGTTGAGCAAGTGCAACTGCCGGGGTGATAGAACTAGCTTACTATATATGGCTTATGATTTTACCCATCTACAATCCATTTACAATCCACGAAGCGCTTTTGTCCGTTCTCGTTCTTTATTTCGTTACTGTGCAATGTCCTCGTTTCGGGATTGATCAAGTTTTAAATCGTTCTACCGCATATTTCTTTCCATTTCTCTGTGGCCACTCAACTTTTGTTCGAAATACCCCCACAAACACACTTGCAACTTGCAAACACCACAGGACACTTGCAGCGAGGTCAACGACCCGGCAGCGCCGCATCCGGAGCCGGAGCTCATCATCAGCTGCCACCGGCATCAGCGGGATCAGTGCGATCGGGATAATCTCCAGAGGGAAGGCAAAGTCATCACCCGATCACAATCATCGGCGTCGACCGCGCCGCATGCTCCAGTGCATCAACTGAAGCCCCAGCAATCTCTGCCCACGCCTCTGCCACAGCCACAGCCACAACCACAGCAGTCCAGCCAACACAACCCGCACCACACCTCCCACGCCCCCAAGTCCGTCTCCATTTTGGTGTACAAGACCCTAAACACGGTCTTCAAGAGCAGCCGCAAGATCATCGTTCGTGTGTGCGAGGTGGCCAGTGCCAAGAAGTCCTTCACCATGTTCAAGTTCAACAAGGCCGCCCAGCAGCAGCGGATCGACAACCGCAACAGCGCCGTCACAGGACACGATCCCTTCGTCCGACCGCCTGTCCCCGAAAAGTGAGTGCTCTAGGTCCTCAGAATTAAGGAAGTGCCTTCCGGAAAGCGGTGATAGGTGTTTGAAGAGCTTTATAAAAGTAAAAGTATAAATGGGCATACGAAAAAAAATAAGATTTTATTTATCTATTCTTACATTTTTTAAAGTAACTTTAAATAACAAAAGAAATTTAGAAAAATATTAGCATTTATTTAAAGTCATATTCAAACAAATTATTGGTTGTATATAACCTCTTTAAAAAATTAGAAGGGTAATATTATATACAGAAAAAAATATTTAAACATTTAAAAAAATATTTTTTCATTCCATTAAAAGTTATTTAATATTGATGACATTTTTCATATAATTCTGGATCAGATAATGACGAATAATTGTATACAGACTCAAATGGCACGCAATATGTCTATTAGTTCGCCAAATCGTACAATGGTGTATAAAACTTAAAAACAAAAGAAATGTAAAAGCAAATCAAATGCTTATTGCTTGTTGCCTTTTCGGGAAATTCCTTAAACCTTTGCCAATGACCATTTGTCTCTCAATATGAAATGCCGCCGATAACCGAAAACCAACTCGATAGGAAAGTGAGGAACATAATGAAGAAGCTGCACAAGGCGAACGGCCTGAAACGCTCCAACTCGGCGATCGAGTTCGATGTCTCGGCCCTGACGGCTGCCAACCGCCGCCAGATTTACAGTAGGTGAGTACCGATCGGATATATGCACCCCTCTGTGTGTGCGTGTATATAGAACTTTTGCAATGTGTGTGCGCGGGTGTGTGCGTGTGTAAGTCACGCACACACTCAAGCACCACGTGGCACAGTGCACAGGTTCCTCAAGTTATTGTTTAGTTTGTGACACCATTTTGAGTTCCGTGAAGCTTCTTTTGACAGACCGAGAGAAAAGAAGAGACCACACACTTATCGCTGTAATTTTCCGTTCATTCTTTTTTGCCAACCAACCCACCGAACCAACCAAAACCACCCACCGCAACCACCATTGTGTACCCTTCTATTTGCAGCAATCGGTCGGCGAGCTCGGAGCAAGATAACTCAGATCTATCCGAGCACTCGGAGAAATCGCCGCTGGTTAGCGCGAGGTTAGACAATCTAGCTAGGCTCTTCTTTAGCAAGTCGATGCCAGCGGAAACCGGAAGTAGAGATACCATAGATTCAGTACTGACAACAAGGTTGCATTTACTACTCTACTCTAAAATAATTCTATACTTAACTAATTTATCTCGTATTTAGCTTGAACTTATACTTGAAATTCAGCATCAGCCTCACTAGTGTACAGATTTCAATTCAATGCCAATTTTTTTTTTATTTTGCTTGTTCAATTTGTTTTCCGTTTTACTTGATATTTTTTGTACCAGCTCTACAGCACTTTGCATGCCAAATATGAATAGAATAAAAACCTGAAATGCTTTTAATGTTTGCCACACGTAGCGAAAAAAAACAAAACAACACCAAACAGTTCTTTTTAATTCGAATTCATTTTGATGTACCTCACATGCACAGTATATACATAGAGATAACACAAGTAATGCCAAGGAAAAACCATCTGAAGTGTCTAATGTTTTCAAGAGGGTTGTGCGGCAGCCACAAAAAATAATTAACTTGAAAGCTTTTGTGGTCAATGATTTTTGTAAAGCGGAAAAAATATACGAAATTCGTTTATTTCTCTTAACATTCAACAGACGCTTCCTCGCTTGCCAAACATTTTTACCAACTTTATTTGGAAAGTTTTCTCATTTCAAATGAAAAGCCAAAGGCAGTGCCAAAGTCAAAGTATTAAACGCGATGATAGAATGCATTTTTCCACCCCCCCACCCTCCGCGTTTTCCCTTTGTTCCAAAGGCAGGTGAAAGTTTGCCAAGGTGAAAATTCCTCAAATTAGATGCCCAGGCACACTCACATACAAAAAGTGCAAATTAAATTATCAACTCGGCAAAAGTTTTTCTCGAAAAGGGCGAAAAATTGATTCGTCTGTATATGTAAGTGTGTGAGTGTGTGTAAGTATCTGTATGGGTGTTTACCCCTCAGCCCTCAACCCTCCACACATTTTACGTGCTGAGCCGTATGATAAATGTGCAAGCGAGCGTGAGCATCTGTTCGTGTGTGTAAGTGTCTGTCAATGTGTGGGTGTCTATCCGTGTGTGCCCCTAACGAGCAGGTGAATATGCATGTGTGAGTGCCGCAAAGTATGCAATAAAAAATTTCACACACGAGCACGTTAATTACGCGCGGCATCCGAACATTTTTGAGCAACTTCAGTATCTCGGCCATCGAATTTCTATCTTTTGGCTCGAGGTATTCATGTGTCTATGCATCTGTCAGATGGGTTTGGCCCTGGAACAGTTTGGTTCGCCCGTTCTCATCAGTCGCAAAATGTTGCTACTAATTTTAAGCAGGGCGAAGAAATCCGTTTCGCTTGGAAGGGCTTTAATTTTAATTAACTTTTCTTATTTACTGTTATTGGCTTCGCTCCTTTTGTTGCTCCTGGAAAAATACTTGTTTATTAGGTATTACTAAGCTTAAATATAATTTTTATTTGGTGGAAAATATTGAAAATTCCTTTAATTTAAAATATAGTTTAAATATCGGGAACAAAACTTATTTTAAAGAATTGGAAGTTATATTTTAAAAATCAAAAAAAAAATTTTGTTGATTTTGTAAAGGTTTCTTTATCTTTCGGTAAAGTCCTGCAGGTTAAAGTCTCTGCTAAAAGTGCTAGACCTCTTTATTACATGAAAATTATTTGTTTAAACATATAAAAAGTCTGCAAAATAACCCAATTCACTTTCAAATTTATTGGACAGTTGAAGTCTGCTATCTTCGGCGTTTTCTTTACTTTTTCGTACCATTTATCCTTCCGTTTCCAGCACACTTTCCAGAGTTGACAAACAACAAGTGTGTCGAGTGTTTGGCAAATATTTAAGCTGCAATATCACGAAGAGGATAAACGAAGAAAAGTCGCCTCTCCGCTTTGCAACAAAAATTAGCTTAAGTCAACAAACAAACGGGGGAAACACACTCCGGCAAACACAAAACCCGTTACAGCTGCAATCGGAGTCAAGGTCTTGAACAGCAGGGAAATGAGAAATATTTCACATACGCACCGTTGGCCAAAAGCGCAAGCCATGCGCCTAAAGAGACACGCATTGGGCAAAGAGTTTTGCCAGCTTTTGGTTGTTCTGGTCTAGCTAACACACAAGAATGCACTGAAAAATAAATTGGGAAAACTTTGACTAAAGTAAAAAATAAAGAATTTTATTTTGTTTAAAACAAATAACTTTTAATATTCCGAATTACAAAATCTTTCCCCAAATTGGTTTTAACTTTTTTAGTTTCTTTCTGTGTAGTTGTGTTTTCATTTCGCATCTGCGAGTTCTTGTGACGCAATGAAAGTAAAATGGGGTAAGAGGAAGAAAAAGAGAGGAAGGAAGAGGGGGAAGGAGCCTCTTGGCCAACATTTTATGCCGCACACGAACACACTTACGCTCTCTATCTGCCCCCAGCTGTCCTCTCTACTCTCCACTTTCTCCCGCTTTTCGTTTTGTGCCTTATTAAATTTTCAAACACATGCTAAACTTAACCCGAGGATGTGCTTAACCTTCGCTCTGTTTTGATTGAGTGGCCCGTAAGTGTTTGTTTATGAACCCTGTCCTCTCGCTCTCCTCTTCTACCAACTTTTTGTTACTTTCTCTGTCTTTGTTATATTGTCTCTTCCAACTATGTCTTTCTCGTTTGAGCCTCCGAGTGAGTGCAGTTTGTTTAGCTTTTCTCCGTTCTTTCATTTCTTTTGACACCGTTTCCATTTTCAGTTTCTTTTCTGCACTCTTCTCTTTGTACAACTCTTCACTTGCAACAACTAAACACACAAAAAATAAATTGTTTCTTAAAAAACAGCAAAACAAAACGAAAAAAACGAAGAAGAACGAAATGAAATGATAAACTCTTGCTTCCGTTTCCGCTGCGCCATTGTGCAGGCAGTTACTTCCTCTTCCTCTGGCCCTTCCTTTTGTTTTCCATCCTCATTGAGTTGCAAATTCCTTCGCCCTGCGGCACCTTTCACAGCTGGCCAACAAAAAATGTTGGTCCGGGCAAATTATTTTGTGCCTCCCTTTTTTGGCAACATTTGGCAGCAATTGTCCCGTGACCTGTAGATGTCGATGGTTTTTGGGAGCTATCTAGCGTACTTTTTTGTGGTCAGCAGGAAGGCGGTTTTTCCTGTAAGGGGTTGAATATCTCACAGGGACATCGAACTTCAATATAGTTTGGTAAATTTTAAATGTAGTGTAGGTTAGTGTTTTAAACTTAGTACATAGTTACAAAGTGATCCAAATACTTAGAAAACTATTCCAACGAAAAGGTTTACTAAACTTTTTTATAAAGGGATTTCCACTGCTTTAATCCTGGTAAAATATTCATTGTAAATAAATTAAACAAAAATCAGTTATATTAAAGCCCTAAAAGGAATTCCATTCAGTGGCGAATAATTGGAACGTAAAGTGCTCTTAAATTCTTGAAATTCCAGCACAGATACCTTCTGATGAATGAGTAAATGAATCTGTGAAAATAAATTATTCAACATGAAACCACATAATTGAAATGCAAGGACGAATTCAAAATATGTTTGTTGTTGTTCAAGTGCGGTCGCTTATGCAAATTGTGGGTAAATTTATGTTAAATGCTCACTCCCATTTGACGTTGTAAATAAAACCTGCCCAAAGTGTTGTGCGATGAATGTCAAGACATTTTCCAGATAGCCATACCCTAATTAGTTATAGCTTTAGTTGTACTATACAAACAAGTTTCCTTAGTTGGCCAATCTTCAACAACGTATGCTCTTCAAGAATGAATTATCAATATAATTATATAAGCTAGAAAGCTAACTTTCGCTTGACATCGTTTTTAGGCCGAACATCAAGTACCAGTACTCCGCCTTGGACAGTGGCAATGGGATCGTGGAGCGGAGTCCCAGGGAGCGGGCTCAAAGGGAGAAGGCCCTGAATGCCACCCAGGAATGGATTCAGAGTGCCAATGGGCGCTACGAGGTGATTGCCCATCTGGACGAGATCGGTTCGCGGCACGGCAAGAACTGGTTTCTGGTCACGGATGCATCGGTAAGTACTCCACCCTAAATTAAATGTATTTGTATTTATTTTTATCCCTTTGAAGGTCCGCACTGATCGTCTGCTGACCCTGCTGCCTCTGCCCCCGACTGCGTGGCCTTCGAGGACCTCCCGCCCAACGAAAGTGCCAGGGAAATACTCATGGAGCTCCTCGGCTCGCTGCACCATCCGTACATATATCCCGTTCTCGATCTGGGCTTCTTGAGGAACAGCTCGTACAACTACGCCTGCCTGGTGACGCCTTTCAACTCGCGGGGCAGTCTCAAGGATCTCATATATAAGGTAAGCCGTACATCTAAATTACAATAAAATACCATAATTAAATACAAAAAATAAAAAGAAGTTACTCATTCTTGCCAATATGAAAATAATAAGAAATATTAAACTCTATTGAATTTTACAACAAATTTTAAAGAAATATAGTTGTCTTAACAAAAATTATAATTATACGTGATACTTCAGGGCCTTACAAATTGCTATAACTAATGAAAAATAATCAGTAAATAAATATTTTTAATATTAAATATTTAAAATATTTGTAAAAGATAGCAGCAGTACTTTAATAGTTATATTTCTGAATGACGTATTTAAATATATATATCTTCTATTCATAACAAATGTATCTAAACCATCAAATACCCATTTGTTAAACATGCAAATTCATATAAATTAGCACTTTTGGCCATTACTCACCCACTGAAACCAATTTGCATCTATTTCCCGCCGCAGGCACAGTGGAACGAGCCGTGGGCCAGGAAGTACACGCGTAAGCCAAACGGGTTGCCTGTCAGCCAGGTGCAGCGGTTGGGGCGACAGATCCTGGAAGCACTGCTCTTCCTGAAGGAGCGCGGCTTTCCGCTTCACGGTCACCTGCACAGCGGCAATGTCATCCTGCAGAACGGCGCCGCCAGGTGAGTCCTTCGTATGCTGTCCATTGGGGTCCACTCAGCCGTGAACTAATTTAATAATAGCTGAAATATTTGATATCGAACCGGAGGGCTTCATGCCCCGCATGCAAAATTCATTGAAATAGAAGCGAACGAGATTTCAGCCCAAACGGCAAATTAAAAGCAATTTCGCTGAATCGTTGGCCATTTCGGGGCACTTTAAATGCATGTCCCTGTTTGGGGACCCCACTTTTCTCCCCAGTTTCCCCTGCGATCCCATGTAACTGTTGTGCGACAACGCGTAAAACACCTCCCTCGGCCACCCACAACTGGCAAACATCGAATGGGTGTAACAAAAATAAAGCTTAAGCTTTTTTTTACCATTTTAAAAATAAATGGTCGGCACAAAAAGTTGCTTATAATGCAGCTCATGGGCGGGGAGTAAAAAGGGGTCGTGTGTGCATGGAAGAAATTCCTATAGGTGAAAGTCGATTAAAGTGCTGATTTTTTGCTGTTCAAGTTTGCTCCAAGTGCATGACCCAATTTAGTTGCCTTCGTCGCCAGAGCATTGAAAAAGCTGATTTTCATATAAATTGCATATACATATGTACAGCCATCGATAGGACCTGGAGATTTTAAAATACGAGCCACAGGAAGAGGGAGAAATGAAAAAATAGTAAGCTGAAAAGCTGATTGATGGAGTAGAAGGAAAATACTTGTTCAAGTGGTATTGAGATAAAAATCTCTGATTGCTTGCAAAAGCAATCAGGGGAAGGATGAAGAAACTGCACAAGAGTGTTAGGCTTAAGTCTCAGCTATAAAAACATAATGCAATTAAAATAAGATTTATTTAATACCCAAGACTTTAATTGAAAGTTCAATCAGTTACAATTACTTATGGTTTGCAGAATGTAAGCTACATGTGTTTAGGCTATTTATTTAAACTAATTGAAAATACATTCCTATTGAATCTTTATGAAAAAAGATTTTGTTTATCAAGGCGTTTAGATCTTATACAAACTATTAATTACCGATTAAAAAACCCTCCAGTATTTTTCATAAAACAATAACGATAAAGTGGGGTTCCACGGCAACTAGAATCTTCAGAATGTCTATTGTCAGCCAATGTGGGATACCTTTTCCAACTTGTCAGCAATATTTCGCTCTAATGAACACCGAGAATCCCTGGCAGACCCTCGAACCGAAAACCCCGGCCAATCCGCAATATACGAACCGGTGTAGTGCCATAATATTGTCATATCAGGTCTGACATACGCTCTTTGTCATAAAGGCACATCGCAAGTGGCGAAAGAGATGGCAGATGATACCGACGGCCGCCTCTCGCTCGCACATAAATCCATAAAAGTAGATACTTTGTGGCCGTCATAGCCACGTGTTGGCCATCAATACATGGCAGAGCCGCCATCGAATGTGTTGCATAATTAAGACCGAAAACAAAAGGGTCGGGTCGGTCGGCCATTTAATTATGCATTTTGCGTGACATTTATTCCCTTTTTGTTTTAAGGTTATCGGGCCTGGAGAACGGCCTCCTGGGCCTCAGTTCGCGCATTAATGCCGTCATGTGGTCCCGCTCGGTCACCGAGATCGAGAACGTCGACATCGTCTGCTTCGGCCACCTGCTGTACGAGATGTGCACGGGCCAGGAGCTCACCACCCCCAAGCCGTCCATGCGGGTGCTCGAGATGGAGCTGCAGCACTACCCACAAATTGGCCAGGTGAGTGAAAAGTGCACCTGTCTTTTGGTTTTGTACTACTACCTTTTAAAAAAGGGTGGTTAAGCACTAGAACATCTACTGAGCATTAAACATTTACGAGTATATAAAAAAATGTCGGAAAAAAATCGCTAGAGATTTGAAACCTTTAAAAAGTCTTCAACGATTTATTTTGAAATCATATTTTATATGTAATTTTATAGTATACTTTGAAGCTCATTTAAAAATAGTTTAAGCCATTAGCGATTTCTAAATCACTTTTCGTTTATTATCAACCGTTTTTATTTTATTATTTTGTTTTTATTTTTTCAGAAAAGAAAACAAGTAATGTATAGTTCATTTGCTAACATTCTGGTGTTGCAAATTGACAAGTCTTTCGTTTTGGAAGCCATGAAGTAGTTTGCTTATAATGTTTCACCTTTCTTACAGATTCTGGAAATATTAGGTCTAATCTTTGAGCCGCCTAGCGGTGTCTGCCCCTCCGTCGAGGACTTAGTCCTTTGCGATCTCTTTCGCAGCATCGATTTGCGCGAGCTGCGCGGTCCCTGTTTCAGTGTAAGTACTTTTTAAGTAGAAAATATATTTGATAGTATTTATATGAGCACTATACCTTTGCAGACAATTAAGCCGAGCCTCAGCAGGTCCACCCTGAACCTTCTGCAAGCGGTGAAGAAGCGCCAATGTGCCTCGCTGGGGCACTCCCTCAGTGAGGCAAACTCCCCCTGCACGCCCCCTTCAACGCCGCACGATCGACGCACTGGGTGAGTGTTATTTTCCCCGACAACGTAGCCTTCGCTTCACCTAGATGCAAACTGTGCAAATTCCTACTCTGTCAGTCACTGGCATTTCTCACATAAATCCCTCACCACACACACCGACTCATACACAGTTCATCGTCATGTTTTTCGGTGCGAGAGGAAAACCAGTCTTGTATGCTCATCTAAAAATTACAAATTCGGTGCAGGATTAGCTTTTTCCAGCTGGCGTGGAGGGAAATTCCAGAAAAGGAGCACAAAGGCGTACAAAATAAAGCAGAGTAGTTTAAGTCAACTTACTAACGATGATTATGTATACAGTATTTAGTTGGTTTATCTTAGCGCTGATTATATTATTTCTTTTTTCCTGAGAGTTTCTATAAGTTAAAAATTTACAAATACTTTTAAGTGTTGTTATTAAAAGTTTCCGTTTTTCTAGAATATTTTAAGTATTATTTGGGAAAGGGCTTTTAGAGCTTATGAATTTTTTTTAAAAATAATAGAACACGCATTTTGTGTTTCCGTATCACCCCTTAAAAATAGTTTTCCCAAACCAAGTAAATAACAATTTAGAAGGTCCTTTAAAGCTGCAGCCGAGTTTCTTAGATGAACTTAGATGTTGTTTAACCTTTTTTTTCTCCCTGGTCCTCTAACCATTTAATTATATGAAGACTGACAATGCGGGATATACTAAAGTAAACATTTTCAAAGTTAAATAACTGAAAATTTCAAAATTAGCATGGAAATGTGCGCACTTAAAAAAGTAAACATAAGAGAAACGACATCCCTTAAACTTCTGCAGAGTCACAGGTAGGCCCTACGTTGGGCGCCAAATAAATCCTCGCACGGACCTGCTAATCCAGTAGCTGTGCACTCGCATTTTGGGCTAATAAAGAGAAAAGCTCACACACACATCCGAGGAGATGTTGAACAAAAAGGAAACAAGAAAAGCAGGAAAACTAACACTGTGAGTCAAGGAAAAGCGGAAAATGTTGCCATAGGCTTCCAATGTGCGTGTGCATGTGCTTGTGCGTGTCCAAAGATAATTATGATAATGTTCTGGACTGTGCGCAACCTGACCCATCCACCCAAAAAAAAACGTAGGCAGAATTTAAAATTATGCATACAAGACAGGAGTATAATTGAGTGATAAAAACGAGGGAAACAGACGTACTAGCAGGAGAAAAAGTCCCAAAACAATAAATACAGGAAAGAAGAGCTCATTTGTTGTCTCATGTATGTTTAAGCATCTCTGACCCCGTGTAAATTTACTCTGCTGCCTTAAAAAAAATTTAAATATAATTTAATACTCAAACGCATGTTTTACTTTCATAACAATTAACAATATATGTAGTGGAGGATTTTTTCAACTAAAGTATTTTTCCGTATGCAATGTTTTACTCTCTCTTTCTCTCCTACCGCCTACTACTACTACTACTACTCAACTTTGTTGTGTGTGTGTGTGTCTATAAATATAACTTAGTGTTGCGAAAGCGCCCAGAAAACCGTTACCGTTGCAGTTCCCGTTACAGTTGCCGCTACACCAAACCCATCATCTACTACACACATACCGATCCGCTCTTGAATGTCTATCAACGTTCATTTTTGTTTACATTACCTATGTGTGTGTTTTGTTTTTGATTTACAAACTCTTGCATTTCTGCATTTGTTTATTTACATAACCCGTTCGACTAACTAAAACCAACAACAACAACAACTACAACAACATCAGTGTTCTGCCTGCGCCCTATGAAGTCTTTCGTATGTACTAAACCGAAACCGAAAACCAAACCGAACCGAACCAAAACCAAAGAAATCCGAACCCAACCCCAAAAACCAAAACCAACAAATGAACAACTCACAAAAAATATCTCACAATTAAATTTTACAAAACGAATATCGTGTGAAATAAACCCAAATACCTGAATAAAATTAAATAAAACCAATATACAAACCGAATAAGCAAACACATCATTTTTTGTACGAAAATTGAAATTTTTATACCAGACGAGAAGTGCTGCAAAAATAATGTAACAATGTTTGTTGTAGCGAAATGTGGTAAGTGGCAATATTTTTGTATGCTCCAACCACCACGAGATGTGTGCACCACCCAGCAAGCAAACCACTCCGCACTACTTAAATCGAATCTGCATCGAAGGAGGGCCAGCAGAGTACATAGAATATACTATTATTTATTTAACAACTGCAAACCACATTATCCAATGCTTTTCACTTACTTTTGTTTTCATATTTGCCGGCTCGCATAATCGAATTTGTGTGTTTTTCTCACTGTAAGTTATTTGCCAAGCCCTTTACTTTAATTCCCATCTATTCAGCTTGTAATAAAAATGTTTTTGTTTATGTTGTTGATTGCATGCCGTAGAGAATATGTTTCAATAATATTTGATTTGGTTAAGCGACAGAATGTGTTTTCTGTGCAGGCATAATATTTGCAGATGAATAAAGATTAAACGCTGAAGTGGATGTACTTATCAGAGGGAAATAGTTCAGAATTAAATCCCTTGTTGAAAACATAAAATCCTTTTAAATGTAAAATGTTTAAAAATATAGTTGAGATTTTTTATTTGATTTTACGTAAAATATAACACTATATACATTTAAATGATTCACTTGGAACTTATATATTCTTGTGAATATAGCTGATTTTGAGGAACCATCTTTTAGCTCAAATATTTTAATGTATTTAGCTAGACTCAGTTTTGCAACATGACTTTTTCTTAACTAACTTAATCACACTTTAAGAAATCCATTTCGTAACCAAGCATTTCTGCCTAGAATCAGTGAAATACATCAGCATAGCTGTCATTTTTTGGGTCACTAATTGAGTTTGCGGAGGAACTCGAAAGCCGAGCGGCCAAGTTGAGCTTGATTGAAAACACGCACGTATTGCCGCTGCTATTGCAGCTCACTCCCACACACACACACACACACTCACAATTCACACACACACATACAAACAACCTGCATTCATCGCATATAATGACATGCCATGGCTTTTCTGCATATCCGAACACAAAAGGAAAATCGAATCAGGATCGCAACCGAAAACTCTGAAAATCTGAAAATTCTGATTGTTATTCCCTGGCCCTTTGCCCCTTTTTTATTCCTCTACCCACGCAGTATCAGCCGAACAATGGACTCATTTGACATATCAAGCGACTCGGAGGAGGGTCTGCTGGAGGAGATTGTGGTCGGGGGCAGCTGCCACCGGCAGCACCTGCTCCGCCTGCAGCAGTGGCACTCCGCCCACTCGTACGTCCACTCGTACAACTCGGAGTCGCCCATCCACTACTGCGATCCCGCCAACGTCTACTCGGACGACAATGGCCAGGATGCGGGGATGCAGGACAACCAGCCGCCGACCATTCGCTGCAGCACCAGCAGCCAGAGCAACCTGGACGTCCTCCTAGCTGAGAGTGGGGTTTCCGAAATCTACGAGGAGGTCGCCGAGGAGGAGGAGTACTTCGAGCCCGAGGAGGAGGCCAGTGGTTCGTCGTCGGCAGGAGGAGCACAGAGGTTGCATGCTCCAACGGGCACCTCGTCCTCGGCAGGTGCCTCCTTCAACCACCAACTCACCGCCGACATGTGCAACTACAAGAACTCGAAGAGCCGCCGGCTGGAGTACTCGCTGAAGTGCCTCAAGTACGGCCGCAGCAATCCCTCCCAGGATTCTGCTTTCGGTTCCCTCACGGACAACGATCTGTCCATTGGCTCCTCCAGCATCCGATTGAGTAGCTTCCAGTCCATCTCCTCGCCCATCGACGAGGGTGTGGAGGATGTGATCATCGCCACCACGACGGGTGGTAATGAAACCTGCCTGGAATTGGCCACCGTTCCCAGGAGCATGGTGTCTCAGGACTCGGCCATCTCCTCGCCCTGTCGCGAGAGCTCCCCCAACAACTTCCTGCACATCGATGACGCCATGTCCGGAACGGGCTCCACTTCCCTCGGGCTCCAATTGTGGCTCCTTTGGGAATATTCGTCCGCAGCAGTTTCCCGTTTCGCTGTCGCCGAAGATTCTGGTCACCGCCACCAGCAACTCGAGCAGCTCCTCCCTGGCATCCACCAGCAATGCGGGTCAAGGTCAGAGCCAAGGTCACGCACAGGGGCATCCCCAGCAGCAGCAGCAGCAGCAGCAGCAGCAGTTCGATCCGCCCAAGATCCTCGTGAATGATCAGAACTCCATCTACACCACATCGCCCTCGAAGCGATCGGGGATGATAGAGGTGTTCTCTCAAAAGTATCGGGTGAGTACGCTTTAAAGAACTTTCTTGGAAAGCCAAAATATATTAAGTCTTTACCTAAATTAATTTAAAAACTGGGAGTATACTACAAACGTTAAAATTAGTAGAGTTTAAGATTTAACTAAAAAAAAAAAGTAGCAATTGCCTAATCCTGTTTAGAAATTTACTATTAATATTTGTTGGCAATCAAACTAATTTTCAGTGTTTTTAGTATACGACAAAGAATTCAAATGATGTCATAGCGAAATAGCAAATTATTTACAACAAAATTTGAAAAATTCAAAAACAGAATACAGTAAAATGTAGACTTTTTTAAGTTAAATCTCTATAATGATAATTATAGAGATTTACTGATAATTAGATAACAACCATTCTTAGTTAATCCCTTGAAACCTGAAAAGTATCCCTCCGATCTGAGTGAAAGCTTAACTAGTATCCCTTCCAGGTGAGCTCCTTCGAGGACATGTCCCCGAAGCGCAGCTCCGACAAGCAGCACCTGAAGCACGTGAACCGGCTGGCCTTCCGCTCCCTGGAGGAGGAGCGCCGGATCGACAACGCCTTCCTGCCGATGGCGGATCGCACCCACTCGGACAACCGGGTGAACATGCAGAGCGAGAAGTACAAGAAGCTCACGCACGCCTCGTTCCGCATCAGCAAAAGTCAAGGTCAGGAGTCGCCCACGGCCACGCCCACTAGCCAAACGCCCCCCGGTCAACCGGGCAACTGCATCGAGATGCAGCGGACGGGGAGGCAGACCCTCTGGCGGGACAGCAAGTTCTACCGGAAGAACCGCATCGCCAAGAGCAACGACTCCCTGATGGAGAACAATCCCTCGCCGAGGATTTCCCCTTGCTCTTTAAGGGACAATCAGTACGAGAGCAGGAGCAGCTCGCAGGCCAGCAGGAGATCTCTAAGTGGCAGCCAGCAGATGCTGAGTGTCACCACCAGCTTCTGTGGCAACGGAAGTGGATCGAGGAATGCAGCACGATACTGCAGCTCCAAGAGCGAGGACCTGGGCGAATCCTCCGACTATCTGAGAGTCATGGACGCCCGGAAATCCTACTCCGAGCGGCATTTGGTGCGACTCAAGCAGACGGCCATCAACAACACTCACAGCGAGGACGAGAGCTTCAACGATGACAATAATCCAACGGTATCATCGCAGACGGGCAACCAGTACATTCAGAGGGAGCACCACCAGAAGCACCACCATCCGGGTGGCAGGTGGAGCAGCAGCTGCTCCATCGGCGGCCACCTGAAGACGACCAATATAAAGACCACCTCGCTGTCCGCTCAGTCCAGCCAATCGAATTTAGTGGCCACCCAGGCAACAACTGCCAGCTATCGCACGCCCTCCAAGTCCCTCGACCAGAGCATCGCCATCGCCCAGAACAGCAACCCAAAGGGTAGCAGCACCCCCACCCAAAAGGTAGGAAGCAGCACCACCACCACCCAGAAGGGTAGCAGCACCACCAGCAGCGAGAGCAGCAGCAGCACCACCAGCTCGGTGGACGAGTCGCCCTCGCGATTGACCCTCAGCGGAGCGGATCTCTCCAGGATCTTCGTGATGGACATGGACGACGCCCAAGGAAGCACCTGCAGCGAGGAGAAGACCCCGCTCCTCGACAGCGTCGAGATGTCTCCGATCAGTCCAACGGATCCCGAGGTGCCCGACCTCGACAAGCTATAAGGGGGATCTGATCTAGTAACACGATATACACACCAAACGCACACACAGACACGTTTTTGAGCAGCCGAAATGCAAAGCATGTGATAAAGAAACCAAATATAGCAGAAATCGAACGGGGAACCACAGAGTTATAGAACTACTAGGCTAGGTATGAGATGGCCAAGTGGGGGAAGTGTTGGAAAAGAGTTATTGAGTTAGAGGATTTTATATATTTATGAATTCATTTGCTTACTATCATTTCACTATTACATGAGATTTTAAAATTAAGAATATATCAATATTAACAAGATTTATACAGAATTAGGTATTACCAAAGATTTTTTAAAATCAATTATTTAGTTCTAATATAAAGATGTTTTAATAGTTATTTTATGATTGAAAGAGAACAAATTTTTAATTTATAAAAAATACATTTATTTATATTTATTAACTATTACTTTAAATTATTTTAAATGTACGGATTTTTACTACTTCCTAAGTAGTACTTTAGTTTTAAAAACTCTTCTTCAACACGTTTTCCACTGCCAGTGTTGGTTAAGGTAAGGCAATTCCAATCTTGGTTCGAAACACAAACACAAACACGTACACCCACTCACCTACAAATACATATATAATTGGGCTGCTCCCGCCTTTGCTAAATCCACACTCAAAGCTTTCTTCTGGTAACAATAATATTTTTCTCTTTATATTGAACTTTAGCCGGTTGCTTTTACAGCAATTCGAAATTAACTAGAATATCTCTTCACTGAAGCTAATCTCTAGACTGCTAAGCCACAAGACAACACGAAAAACCAAAAAAAAAAAAAAAGGGAAGACCATCCTGCTGATTAGTTGTTTTTTTTAAACAAAACAAAAGGGAAACCGTTTTCGAATTATACCGAATTATACACTTTACTTGGTAGTTAATTGAATAGCTAAGACTTAAAAGCTTCGCAGCTTGGCGCATTGAAAATGTTTTACTGTAGCCTAAAATCGTTTTAAGCTCCCAGAAGGGTGTGTTTTAAATATAAATTACAAAAATATATTTTAGGGAACTAAAACCAACCAAAATATAAAATAAAAGGAAAACGGAGCCAAAGGAAAGGTTACCCATTGAATGGAATTCGATGGAGAAGCCAAGGCAGAGTTGAAAGTATACAAGATTTAACGAAATAGTTACGATTTCTTTAGATTTTCTCCTTTTGTTCAGATGTACCACATTAGCCAGCACTGCAATATCGCAACGGAAACATGAATTTTACCCCATAAGAGTTAAACATTATCGTATGAAACCGTAAACGATAAAACAATACAGAAATGCAATCAAGTTTACTAAGATATCGCAAACGAAAATATCACTAAAGCCACACACAATCGAACACGAAATAAATGTACTCACTAAAGGTCATATATATAGAAGGTAATATTAGACGCACGCACTTAACTAAGACGATCCAGATCCAGATCAAGATTCGATCCCCGATTCAGAACCCAACCCCACCCAGTCTTTTCGATCCACTCAGATAATCTGCAACAGAGTCGCCCTTAGTTTCATTATTCGTAGTCGATGAATGCGTAGGTTCTACATTGTTTACGGGACCCCTAGAATGTATATGTATCCCTGAATATTGTGTGTAAGTTCATTTCGCTTGGAATTGTTTGTGTATACACGTATGTACTCCCCAAGTAACCCCCAAAATGGAGAGAAGCCCTTGAGAACTAACAAATAAACGAGAAAACAATGTACACTGAAATGGAGTTTTATTTTGAAGGTGGTTCATTATGATAACAAAAGAGCTTGAACTTCATCTCCATATAAAAATTCAAATCGTTAGTTGTTAGAGATTAAGTTAATTTCCCGGTCTTAAATTTATTTTTAAAAACTATTTACTGAATAGTGACTGTTGGCGTGGTGATGCCAGATGTGAGCGTTGCAAGCAGTTGAAAGCAGTTGAAAGAAAACTGAGTATGTAAAGTAAATTATTTTGACAGAGGTGCCATTTGATCTTACACGAATTTGACATTTCAGGCGTGGTGTAAATTTTATACACATATTTCCTTACAAAATATTTAGTTGTTTCTTTTAACCTCCAGGTGGCTCGAGCATAATAGTTTCCCTAACGGCCACAACTAAGCATGGCGTTTGTCAAAGCAGTTCAGCTAGCAAGCAGTAAAATAATGTGTTATCAACAATTTGATATGAATTTCCAAATTGCGAAAAATAAAGAAATTGGTATTGTTAGAATACTGCTAAAATCTTGCATAAGCATAGTTTTTTATTTGATAACTTAATAAAATTACTTACAGCAAATGACCTAATAAATTAGCAACCGTTCCCATTGAAAAAATGCGTACATTTTTAATGTGTATGTTGTAGTTGCTAATTACTTCAAAGTAATTAACTTGAGAATTATTCAAGTTTGTATTATTTTATTTAGCCAAAATATTTCATTAAAAAACTACTTGGCTTAAATTATAAATTATTAAGTATTAAATTTAAGATGTAAAATCGCTGGCACAATAAGAACTACCTTAAAATGGATAACCATTTTTTTGACACTTCAGAGTTGGGCATGCGTGACCAATAAGCCTCCTGGGGAAAGGAAAAAACCTTTACCTTGTGCGAGGAGGAGTGGCACACCCGTTTCATAATTTAGTTGCCATATTTATGATTATGTCCTGTCATGTCCTGTGCGTGTTTCCGTGCCCGTTACTATTGCCCAATGCATCCAGCATCCTAAACAAACAGTCGATGAGCATATGACAGCAAACTAATAAAATTTACCACCCCTCCAGGCCATCAACCATCCTGTCCGCTCTATTTTCCCCTGTAAATTCCTCCATTGTTTCAGGAGCTGCAATTATGGGAATTTGGCAATTTTACGGACACCGAAACGAAACTGGACGGCGGTCAGTCGGTCTAACAATATAATTTACAGCGCTTTTGTGTAGCGAGGCGTGAATTTACTACTCAAAACTGAACCCCCTGCAACTTTACAGTCCCGACTTTGGACCAGTTAATCGCATTTGTTGGTTTTGTAATTATAATACCGGTCAATGGAAATGATTTTAGCATTTCAATTTGTACTGCCAACCGCATTTTTCGACCCCTTTTCCCTGGTCACTTTCGATTTTCGAATGGAGTTCTTAGCGCAGGAGCAGCTGCTACTTATCCTCCCTTTTTCAGCGCGTGCCTTTCGCAGCAGGACACTGTGTCCATTCACATCCTGGCAATCCTGGCAATGTTTTCCCTCGGTTTTTCACCTTTTGAGTGGCACTTTCGCCGTCGCTAGTTTGTATAGCAAAAAGGATTAAAAGGACTTCTCGCGGTTGCCTTTGTGCCCGCCCAATTTAGCGTAAAATTCACTGCGCTTCGCTGTTTCAAAAAGTATTTCATGTGGCGGGTATCACGAATTTTCTACCTTTTCTCTGGGTTTTCCCCGCTTTTTTGCGCACATTTGTCAATTGTTTTTGTCGCGGTGAAAGTGACAAATTTTGGGTATCCCATCTGAAGATTTATGTGCCGATCCAGCTATTCAAGTGGTTCAGTGGTTGAGTGTTCGGTGGTGTCAGTCTCATTGTTTCCATCTCTCAAGGGTTGAGGGGCGTGGCTGCTATGCGATCGAAAGTCAGCCGAGGAGATTTATGTGATGCAACATCCAATTTCAGGCAGATGATCGTCAAGGGAATTCGCTCAAGGATGAAGCCAAAAGGTTGAAAAAACAATGCTTTTACAAAAAGTGCATTAATTTAGTTAGAACCTACAACATGAAAAAAAATAAAAAAAACATCACTCAAATGTCAGTTACAGCTAAGAAATTTTTATTCATGGTGGTTATAACGAAATTGAACCTTAATATTAGAAAATAATATAATTATGTTTATTTGTAGTTTGAACAAATATTTGGCTAATATGATATTTACCAACATTATTATATTATAGGTGATGTCCACTAAAAATTTAACAGCTGCCTAAAACTTTTTCAAAGCGAGGTAATTAAAATGTATTTTAAATATTTTCTACTTGCAAGCATTATCCAACAAACAATACAAAATACCAAACAACTTAAAAAATAAAAACAGTAAGCTGGTAAATATACAATGACATGGTCAATGCCATGTCCCCTTGGACATTTTCACAGCTTGGCGAGCAAGTGTTTTTGTCATTTAGCTGGAAACCGTTTTCCGCACACGCTAAATTATTCTTGCGTGAATATGAAAATTTGAAAAACATGTTCTTGTCGCGCGGTGGAAACCCAATACGCGTGTGCACCAATAATGTCATTCATTTATTCGGCGACCCATTCATCCAGTCACTTGCTCATTCAATATTCCCAACAAGCGCATGTCGATTTTTTAATTAAAAAATATTTTCAATCGTCTGGCGGCCAACTGCTGGGAAATTAGCTTCAAGTGCCCCGGATTGTCAAGCTGTGCGCAGGCGCATTTGGTTTTTCAAGTCCTTTGGAGGCCCAGGCGCCTGTCCAGCTGTCCATAAATCATCCATCTATTCCAAAGTTATGTAACTCCGATTTCACTATTTTTTTACGGCCTTTTTACGAGTGACCTCCCCGTGTTGACCTCCTACGTTCGAGGGATGGTTAATCGACCTGAGTCAAAGTTTTGTCAACGTTTATTTATGATTCTTGCTGTTTTTTGGTGGATGATTCGGATTTTTTGGCACTTATATATGTCGACTGGACAGAGTGAAGTGCCTTCGCTGTGCACATTAATGATTTTTTGCTGTTTTGCTATTTTAAGAGATGTTAAACTGCTTTTACATGTTTTGGGGAGGGTTGATAAACAAAATTCCATGATATTTTCTGCGAACTTAGCACAAATGTTTGAAGCATTAATCAGAACATCAAATTTATTTTAGTTCTGATAAAAGAAAATTAATTATTTTTATTTTTATTATATTATTATTATTTTTTTTTTTAATTTTTGGTTACCAGTTTTGTGATACCATACGAAATAGATACAAACATGATTGTGGATTAATTACCATTTAAAAATATATATACCCGTTTTGAATAAACTTAGACTAGACAAAAAAGCGTATTAAAAATATTCCATTGCGTTTAAATGCTTTTATTATTATATTTGTGTAATGAAAAAAGTACAATGGTGGCCATAAGTATTTTGTCAAAATAAAAGTGAAATATACTCGAAACCTGAACTTGCTTCTTTAAACTTTTGGTATCAATGGAAAGGTAATTCAAATGCCTTTTGAATGATACCATACTTTTTCAACTCGTTCGATATTTATTGAACAGGGCAATTTTAAAAAAAGTCAAAAAAACTTTTTCCCTCGGCTTCAAAACTAAAATTTTTGGATGCAAAAGTTTCTTTAATCAAAAATAATAGGAACTGCAAAAAGAATTTTTCAAAATAATTTTTCTTCTATTTTTAATGATTTTTTGAAAATGACTAGAAATACGCATTTCAGCCATATTTTTCTCTTTTCCATACAAACTTTTTCCGACATTGTCACCTTCAAAAAATCATAAAAAATAGAAGAAAAATTATTTTTGAAAAATTCTTTTTGCAGTTTCTATTATTTTTGATTAAAGAAACTTTTTGCATCCAAAAATTTTAGTTTTGAAGCCGAGGGAAAAGTTTTTTTTTTCTTTTTTTTAAATTGCCCTGTTCAATAAATATCGAACGAGTTGAGAAAAGTATGGTATCATTCAAAAGGCATTTGAATTACCTTTCCATTGATACCAAAAGTTAAAAGAAGCAAGTTCAGGTTTCGAGTATATTTCACTTTTATTTTGACAAAATACTTATGGCCACCACTGTACAAATCCTATAGACAGCTTAAGTAAAAGAAAGAGTACAAAATATGTAAAAAGCTTAGATGTTATTTTTCACGGACAGGTATTGCAGGTAAAACCACAACAGGGTCTCTGTCAAAAACACTTCCTCCCAAATAAATAAACAATTTGCCAATTTATTTAATAGCCACTTTACGTCAATTATACTATATATTTTTTTCAATTTTTTCCCCAAATTACGCCAAAACCTCACAGCAGCACGCCTATTACGATCCACCATTATGACACAATTAAATGAATGAATTCCCATTACCAAGTTGTTTGTTTAGCTCATTCACTGCTTCTTTAATGGCTCATTGCCAAAAATATAAAAAACTTTCTTTTATACCCGTCGCTGCATGAAAAGCAATTATCGCACCAATATATTTATTATTGATAGACATGTCAAGCATTTCGATCATCGTGATGATAATCATCATCATCGTGATTATCAACTTCAGTGACTGAAGTCTTCGATTTCATTTTCAAGTATGCTGCAAGTGATTTGGTTTTGAAATTCCAATTTCTATTTCAACGCACGTGCGAGCGATTAATTTTATATATCTTTTTTATAGGCCTCGCATTTTTTTGGGAGGTGTTGTAATCCTCCTGCTCGAAATATCCTGCGGTTCCTGCTGATTCTGTCTGTCTCCCTTTGCAAACTTTCTCCTTCCGTTTCATTTGCACCTTTTTTATTCGCCTTTGCGGTTTTGTGACATTCAATATATACCGCGCCTGCATTTGTCACCCGTGGAGAATCCAAAAAGTAGAGGATATTGAGAAAGGAGAGGAGGGGTTGGGGGACATTCTGTTGTGCGAAATTAAATACCCGATAATTGTCAGTCGATTGCGGTCGGAACCCGCAGGCATTGAATTCCCAATCGATTAAGGGTTTGCAGAAAAAGAAAGCAACGTAGTAATAGAAAATGC